AATATATTACCTATGCCTCCCTAGGTATGGAACCCTGAAGGCTTCCGGACAGCTCTGATGTCTGCTAGTGCACTCCCACCCCTGCTGGGCAATTCACTTGCTTGCCCTGCAAGCCTACCTTCGGGCCTATCCCTCCTTTCCATTTCTGGGTTATAGCCTGCCATTCCACTAACCCCATAACCTGACTCGTTGGTAATATTCAGTTGGCTAACGTTTAACTCCGTTAGCTCCACTCTGTTTGGCCCCACCATTCATGGGCCTGCCCTTGCTGTAACTATATATACATAACTTGTAGATAGGTTACACCCTAGTGATAAAATCGACTAGAGTTATCCCTCCTTTTTAGTTCTTGCTGCCAGTAAGTAAATTAGGGCACAGACATGTAACTAGGCACAGCGCTCCTGGTCTGAGTCACTGAGGCTGAAGCCCTCTGCCACGGAGATGTATCCTTCATCTCGCATCCGGTCTCTAACAAATGGCTTAATTGCCATTCCCCACCTTATATTGATTTCTTGACAATTTTCTTGTTATACCTGCCTGTGCGATATTAATATCGCAAGGGAGGATGTGAGGGATGTATGTCATCATCCTCACACTGGGATGCCTGGGCACAGGGAGGTAGGTGGTCATTGTCATATCCATACATACCCAATCCTGAACCGACTCCCAGACCCTCATCCTCATCACCTCCGGAGTCCTACTGTCATATCCCGGATCTTCCACCTCCCCCCGCTCTATCCATACATGACTCCTATGACCTCCACCAGCCCCCCCAATCTCTCTCCACTGCCTCCGGTTGATGCCAACAACCCTAGGACTACCTCCCCTTTCGACTCTCTCCTGCTCTGCCACCCACCTACATCCGCAGCACCTCCAGACCTCTACCATCATACCTCCACCTCCTCAGACCCCTTGTTCGAAGGAGATGGGCTTGCTCGCTGTTGATGAATCCCAACTTGTCATTCCATCCCCCTTCCTACCTCCAGTCTCCACACCTCTGGTACCTCCTTACCTCTGGTCTCGATAATCTTATTGTTTTATCATTTGATATTTTCTACAACCCCAATCTTCCGGACTACAACTTCTGGGCTCCGGACCTTTCCAGATGCCTCTTCTCTGTAGTTCCCTGCTTGTTCATAGATGCTTCCAGACCTTGCCATTCAGTTGGCTTTTATTTCTCTCACTCCACAAACTTCAGACATAATTCGGGCTTTTCGCCTATTCCTATTTGTCTTGTGGACTTCTTCTATTTACTTCCCCTTCCCCTTGGTAACCTTTGTTTACCTTCGGATCCAACTGTTTTCCACTATATGTATGTGCATACCCCTCTAGTAAATAGTTCCCCCAGTTATAATATAAACAGTCTTCAGCCCTCCAATAACCTCTTCCAGGACGTCCATCGCGTCCCACTCGTCTGTCGCTCCTAAGAACCGAGTAACAGGCGCTCCCAGAGATGCCTTGGTATAACACCCAATGAATCGCATGATGAACGATTGACCCTCGCTAACGCCTCCTCCGTTAAGTAGTGAGGGGGGGCCTCCAGCCCCCTTCTGCTGGCAGCCTCGGTTCCTCCATTGCCAGCTCCTGTTAGAACAGGCAGATACAGACGACTCCGGAGTGGAATCGGAGACTTAGCGTGGAGGGACCTTGGCCTCAGCGACTCAAGCGGAGCGCTGTGCCATTGCTGTTTGTCCATTTGGTCCTTAATTTCACAGTAGGCGAGCAGGAAGTCTCTAGGGGGCATTTCAGGTCGATTTCGGACTGAGCCCAAAACGAGTATGTACAAGCGCCGATATATATAATGGAGGGGGCAAAAGCACAAGGAGACAAAGGGAATCCGAATCAGAACGAAGATGTCCAAACGGGAACAAAGGGTAGACAGAAGCGGAGCGGTACCGAAGGTCATAAGGCAGGACCTGTGATACGTCCGAAAGGAAGTAGGGAGGGTGAGGCCCAGAGGGGCAGGAGGATGAGGAGAAGTGGGGATGATGACTAACTGGCTAGAATGGGAAGAAGCAGCAGTCCAAATAGGGATGAGGGGAAAACGCAAAAGATACATTACAAGCAGTGAAAGTGCTGAAGGCGATCCACGAAGCTCGGAGTTTGCAGAGCTTACGGAGGTTACGGAGGCAGGGTTGAAAGTCCGAGGAATATTGGCAATGGTGTTTACATAGTATGAGGTTACCAATGCAATGGACTAAGACCGAGGTGGAGTCAAAGTCCGAGGTAGGGACTATGACGGAAGCTCGGAGCAAAGGTACGAGCGGTGCCTGAGTACGAAGTACGGGACAGCGGTGGAAGGTTGTAACTTGGCGGGAGGTCGGCAGAAGAGTACCAGAGGGAGGAGAGAAGAGAAAGGGAAGAGAGAAGGAGTGGCGGAGAGGAGAGTTGTCAGGTCCGAAGGTGAGTATCGGAGCGGAACGGGGGAAGTGTAGGAGGGTGACGGAAGGGTGGGGGTGTTGTGAGGGAGGAGCAGAGGAGTAGGAGGAGTAGTAGTAGGAGGGTGGCGAGAGGGGCGGTGTTCGGTCCGAGGTGAGTATCGGAACGGACGGAGATAGGGGAGGAGAGGGAAGGAAGGAGTAGAGGTGGCATGGGAGGTAGAAAGAGGTGTGTTGCCAGCACTGAAGGTGAGTATCGGAACGGCAGCAGTAGGGTATGACTCCGGAGGTGAAGAGGGTGGAGGTCCGGAAGTCGGGTCGGGGTCAGGTATGCATGGATATGACAGCTCCCCTGACAAATGGGGACAACAAGAACATACTGGGCGCAGCGCTCCATTCCAAGTCACTGAAGCTGAGTCCCTTCAACACCCCATCACCCTCGGAGCTCTGCCCCACCTCCGGTCTGTCTCCGACCCACTGTCGGACAACCCAGAACACTGAGCTCCACCCGGCAGCGTCGCCTGGATAGCAATTGACCTATCCCCTCCAAGGAAAGATGTTCATGACACCTACCCTATCTCCGTCTGTTCCGATACTCACCTTGGACCGAACATCACTCCTCTTGCCACCCTCCTCCTCTTACTCCTCATGACACCTCCACCCTTCTGTCACTCTCCTACCCTACTTCTGTCCACTCCGATACTCACCTTTGGACCTGACACCATTCCTCTCCTCCACTCTCCTCTCTTCTCTCTCCTCCCTCCGACCCTCTTCTGCCAAACCTCTGCCAAGTTATGACCTTCTGCCACTGTCCCATACCCTGTACTCGGACACTGCTTGTACCTTCGCTCTGAGATTCCATCATAGTTCCGACCTCGGACTTTGACTCCACCTCGGCTTAAGTCCATTGCATTGGTGACCTCATACTATGTAAACACCATTGCCAACATTCCTCGGACTTTCAACCCTGCCTCTGTAAGCTCCGTAAGCTCCGCAACCTCTGAGCTCCATGGATCATACTCGGTACTTTCACTGATTGTAATGTATCTTTCACACTTTCCCCTCACCCTTATTTGGACTGCTGCTTCTCTCCATTCTAGCCAGTTAGTCATCATCCCCACTTCACCTCATCTTCCTGCCCCTCTGGGCTTTGCCCTCCCTATCTCCTTCCAGATGTACCACAGGTTCTAACCTATGACCTTTCAGTGCCGCTCCACTTCTGTCATCCCTTTGTTCCCATTTGGATGCCTTTGTTCCATTTTGGACCCCCTTTGATTTCCTTGTGCTTTCGTCTCCCTATTATATACAGGCACTTGTACATACTTGTTTTGGACCTTCAGTCTAAAATCGACCTGAAATGCCCCTAGAGACTTCCTGCTCACTGCCTCTGAAATTAAGGACCAAATGGACAAACAGCAATGGCACAGCGCTCCACATGAGTTGCTGAGGCCAAGGTCCCTCCTTGCTAAGTCTCCAGTTCCCCTCTGGAATCGTCTGCCCTCACCCAGTTCTAACAGTCATCCTGATGTTGTTGTGGGGACAACTCCGTGCACCGCAAAAAGTCGGATTCTGCGGAATTTGGCCACCAACATACACCACATACCCTCTGACGCTCCCGATGCTCATTCTATCACTATCCAACACTCCATAAACTCATTCCTTATTTTTCCTTATTTTCCCCATCATTCCTGACAACCCCAAGCAAAATTCCCATGCCCAACCATGCTGCCAATTTCACCCCCTCTCTAGATCTCCATAACCACACATACAACCCAGCCGTTTTTCCACCCAATAGTGATGCTCTACCATTCTTCTTCACCCCCGGAGCATTTCCCAGAATGGCAATCCCATACCTGGATGGTTCAGCACGGAGTATAGTCTCATGTGGTCTTGACAGCACCTGTCAATGGCCACATCTCAAGAAGTACTGCACCAATTGGGATGAATAAGGGCTCGTTGGAAAGCTGGAGACGAGGTTGCTGACGGGAGGATAGGCGGGCGCCGCGGCGAACCGTTGCGGAGTTAATTTTCACAATTCCCATTTTGGACCCGTTATCATATATTCCCCATTCATTCATATTTCTTTTATTGTTTCTTTGTTCCCAATTGGATATTCCTTATTTACGGTTGCCTAACGGCCCGTTTACATTCCCCCAGTCCATTTATTCCATTTCCAACTCATACAAAATAGATAACAGCTTGTACATAACAAGTTAGTACTGAATAGACCCGTGAAGGGACAAGCAGAAGTTACATTCAAGTGGCAAAGACGCCATCCACGACCCTAACGCCCCCTCTGAGCTAGTTGCTCACGTCTAAGACCCCTCTCATCATAATACTCAGCCTTGACGTCCAAGAGAGACGTAGGTGAGTGTTTGTTTGAGGTTTTTGCAGACTCAGTAGTGCCCACGGACCAAAACCCGGCCCCATGAACCACACCTGCACACACTACAACCCTCCCCCTCTTCTCTGTCTCGAGTCAAGGTGATTGACCCGTTACAACGTAGTCTTCGTCAGCAGAGACTTCGTCCTCCAGCGAGTTTCATTGCTGGATGGGTTCTCTGTCCCATCCCCTGACTGGTATGGGTGGAGGCACACTTGTCGCCTCGAACTGGGGTGAGTTTAGAGGAATTCCAGCCAATCCAGGGCTAGGGTGATAAATCCAAGCCCACAAGTCCTCTATAGCCTCATCGTGGTGAGTCAGCCGTTGATTGATGCTTCTTAGCATCATCATCAATTCATTGTGCTGATCATTCAACGATCCAGGAGTTTTTGCTCGTGGTTTGGTACCACCCACATCGACGACCTCAACTGGGTTGTCAGGGCCATCACCAAGCCCTAGCACTTCACCCGATCTGGGAGGATCAGGGGAACCAGATGCGTCAACGAACGGATCAGGTCCAACTGGCACGTCAGGTGGGTCTTCCTCAGGGGGAGGAGGTATGACCACAGCAGGTACAACCGTGGTCGTGGACTGAGAAGGGCCTGGCACATCCAGGTCTCCTTGTGGACCTGGAGATGTGTTGGGGTCATCTGTCTCTCCTGGATCAGAAGGGATATCAGGCATGTTAGCGCTGGGAACCCCAGTGCTGTCTGAAGTCTGCACCTTGTTATGCACAGCCACCCTCATCCTCTTTGCAGAGGGTGAACCCGAAGCTTTCTTTACCATGGTGGTAACGAAAAGTTGGGAACTTCAATTAGATTGGCATGCTTCGCGATGTCGATCAAAGAAGAAGTTGGAAGGTTAAATTGGTTTGCTCACCAAGTGTAAGGTTGTTAAGGGTGTTGAGTTTGCAAGTGATCTCATGATAGTCAGTTGTTGCCTCACACTCCCAGTGTTACAGGAATGGGTTCCGGGGAACCCAACCTGAGCCGTTCGGCTCACTAATGGAGGTGGCTGCATAGCCATCGGAGGGAGAGCGGAATGGGATGAGTGTCTGGCAGTGTAACCTGTGGGTTGGCTAACGGTGACTTGGCACTCCTGGGAGTGTACCGGTAGCGAGTATGACATGGGCTCCTTGAGGGAGCCACCTGGCTGTCTGCTAACAGGGACTTGGCGCTCCTGGGAGCGTGCCGGTAGCGGGTGTGCTGGGAGCAGTTGGCTAGCGGTGACTTGGCACTCAATGGAGCGTACCGGTAGCGTGGGATACCGGGACTCCCAAAGGGAGTCACCCAGTTGGTGGCTATCGGTGACTTGGCGCTCATGGGAGCGTACCGGCAGCGGGAGTTGTTGGGGAAAGCGGGTTGGTGGACCAGTGCACGGTAGTGAGTGACCATGGGAAGTGGGACCCACGGGTGCGTGGTCAGACATTCTGGAGCTGCCTGGACTATATCCCTCTCCTAAGGAGGTGGGATAGGCTACAGTTCCTGATAGGGAACTTCTGGTTGGACGGGAGTGACTGCTCAACCACCTGGTGGACTGGTGGGAGCGGGCAGCAGGAGGTTGGGCGTGGGAATGCCCTCCTCGCTGCGGTTTTGTCATGGAGAGGATGAATAGGGAGGTGGACATGGTTCCAAGGTTACAGGTTGAGTTTACAGTGGTGGCACAATGGTGAGGATGTTACAATTGCAGTACAAGGTTTGTGGGTTATGTATTCGATAATGAGAAAACATTTTCGGCATCTGCCTTACACATCATATGACTTCTAACTATCTAATATAAAAGTTATAATGGTCAAGGGAAGTCCCTTGAAACTCAACAAATCCCCCAGCCAGCACCAAAACCCGGTGGGAAAGCTTGGCATGGGGTTTGATGGAGAAGTAAAATGGGGGGAGGCCCTGGGTCCACCCACGGACCATAAGATTCTAGTCTATATCCATAACACCCAGTCTGTTAAAGTATGCTGTATGAAGCTGTATTTATCAATGGGGGAGTAAAGGCTGGGGAAGCCTTTACCCCCTTGCAGGCAGGTTAAATACATCATTGTATGTACATGTGATATTTGCGGCTTGGGACCACATGGTAGAATGAAGGGTTCAGGAATAGAAGTGTTGCGTCAGGTACAAACCCGACATGATAAATAAAGAATGAATAGGGTAGGCCGTGAGTGGCCTATCTCCCTTACAGCCTTCCATCCCGAAGGTGATGGTCAAGCTGAATGGATGATCCAGAGTGTCATCCAGATCATTCGTGCCACAGTCAGACCCAATCAGTGTGATTGGGTCCTAAAACTGCCTCTTACCGAGTTCACAATAAACTCGAGTGTTAATAAGTTGATGGGGTATGCCCCCTTCAAGCTTATTTATAGGATTATGCCACATATGTACCACCTACGAACCTCCCTGGAGTCGGCACTTTTGCACAACAAGCGCTAGATAATCTCCAGGGAGCTCACAACTCAATTATAAAGAGTTGTGTAGAACAGGCCATCCAGTCAAATAAGCTCAGGTGACCAGACTCGCCTAAGCTGAAAGTTGGCAACCTTGCCTATCTTTTGACTAAGGACCTGAACCTTCCTAAGTGTTATAAAAATGGGGCCTAATTGGCCCATTTCTATAGCGTTCAGGTGCAGGAGAGGGCCATGACATCGAAATGGTGTTACAGTTAATATGGCAGAGGTTGTAACAATGAGGTTTACAGGGACATCGACATTGTGTGTTTTTGGTGATAGTTGTTGGTTAGGTTGTTAATATATATACATGTCACGTGATAATATACTGTACAGAGGCCATAAGAGGCTAGAAATGGGAATTTCCCATTTCTAAGGGACAATGTAAGGAATGGATGGTGGAGTGGTACACATCCTTTATTCCATGTTGTATACATTGTATTTACATATGTATGGCTTGGGCTTGGGTAAAGGGTACTTCACTCTTTACCCTAACCTGACATTGAATCATAGCTCTCTACAGCCTATATCTCAATGTACTAAGGACTAAGGAGTCAACCAGCCTGGCCCCCATACCAGGCCTTACAGATGAGCCAAGAAGCTCCTCCCTAAGTTTGTCGGACCATATGAAATCCTCAAAGTATTTGAGGATTCATCTAATTATACCCTCAAGCTCCTGCCAGAGCTTGTGAGTTGGGGAATATTCCCCAAATTCCATGTTTCTCATCTGGCCCCTCATGAGCCAAATGACTCATTACTGTTCCCAGGATGGGCTGCCCAAGTATTCTATGGCTTTGGCGATGATCCTGAATGGGAATATCAGGTCCAAGAGATCTTGGACCACGCATGGGACACACACGATAGCCTGTGGTTCTGTGTTAAATGGGGCCTTGGGGATCTCACTTGGGAACCGCTGTCTCACTGTGACGAACTCGGCATTGGATGACTATCTAATGTTACATGGTGTCGATGCAGTTGAGAAATTAAACAGGGAAAGCCACTTTCCTTCACCTCATATACGAAGTGCCACCTTGGCATCTCATCCCCAACGTTCCCAACGGCCTGCCTGCTTGGGAATGGTCCTGTGGCCATCAGAAGGCCATTTATGGCATTAGTGGAAATCGCTTCCGAGGGTTCGTTAATATTCCCACGGATGAAATTTGCTCCCTCTTCTCTCCTGCCATCATGTCTGATCTGACATCAACTGCTGACACCGGTTGTGGGTTAAGCCCACACCCATCTAATGATGCCATGGATGCTGATGTGTCCATGCCACCAGCTGATCGGCCATTAATGCCTGGCATTAACGAGCTAGACTCAGTACTCCCACTGGATTCACAACCTGCGGACCCAGCACCTATTCCAGCCATATCTGGCCAGTCATCTCCAGTTACAGGTGAGTTCACTCAATCACAAGCTGACTATTCATCGGACAAGCCCCAATACCTGGGGCAAAGCTATGCCCCTGAAATGATGGCACCTATACAGGCGCCACCATATCCAATGTTTTCCCCAGGTGTGTGGGGGTATAATCCCCACATGCAGCGAGAGCCAGCAAGACCGCCCATTGCGGCCTCAAATGACTCTATATTAGGTGACCTTCTCAAGGAAGCAAGCCAACCGATCTTGCAATGAGGCTAATAGCCTCCAAGACGAGATTAAGGAGCTTTGGGAAAATATCCACAGGCTCAAGATCGAGAACATTCATCTCAATCTCGAGTTAAGGAATTCTTCTTGCCACCAATCTTGGCTTTGAGACAAATGTGATGACCTCGAGAAAGAGATCAATCGCTTAGAAAGAGACATCAGTACCCTTGAGGGCTCTCGCCTTCGTAAGATACCCCATATGTCAGGGCCAACAGTAAGTACACCCCCCGCTCCATCCCAACACAGTCAGCATAGGGCACCCATGGTCCCTATGACTGCTTCAAATGTGGAGGTGCATAACCACGCTGCACGACCTCCCATCCCAAAATGGATGAAAGTTCCTTTGACCAGCCTCATGGATGGTCATTATGGCCACCATGCAGCTCCTATCCCCCCTCCCAGGCCTCAAGGGCCCGGGTCTTCTTTTGGCACCATAGTGGCACCTACTCCTCAAACCAGTGGGACATCTGTTCCTTCCTTAATCCCAGAGGGATACTCCTGGTTCGCTGAGGCAAATCGCTCCCCTCCTGCTGGGACCTGGAGGAACGTCCTCATCCCAGGAACATTCTTCCAGGGTGACTTCCATTTTGGTGTTACCATTAGTGGCCAAAACTGGCTGGTAACAGAGAGTCGGAACTGCCGCCAAAAGCGGTGGAATGACTGGGTTTACCTGTTCTTGAACTCAGTTGAAGGGTTCAAGTTCATGGTGGACTTGAAATGGCTCGACCATGAAATGAGGGATGGGTTTGACAGCACTTCGCTGGAGGCTTGTCAACTCCATGGTCAGTTTTTTGACATGAAGTTTGTGAATGGACAAAATGTGTCTGCCACTGAACTTGATGGACGTTTCGGGGTTCGTCCCCGAAACTTTGAAAACACTATCGAGGCAGGGAAGAAGTACCTTCTTTGCTGCCTTTGGAAACATTACCACTCAGAAGCAGCTCAAATGATGAAGGTGACTAGTTGTCAGGGGACGACTCCCGTGTCCCCATGACCCTCCCCTATGGCCCACAGCCTCAGGTCTGGCCAGCCCTATCCAGGGCACGATCCTACTGTGGGTCAGAGATGAGAAGGAAGTTAACTTCTCATCTTCCCACAGTGGCCACAATACATCGAAAACTTCCGGAGATATCCGGAAGTCACATGAGACCCGAGACCCGAGGTCCGGGCCATCCAGCTGCACTGAGCATCCGGCACAGGGCGTGCGCAGGAAGTGCAGCAGCCGGGTGCAGTCATGGGTGCGGGTGCGAGTGCGGGTGTGGATGCGGGTATGGGCTAGGTCAGGGTGTATGCCCTGACACTAGTGCCACTGCATACAACCTTTCCAGGTTGCACATAAGTGAGCCTAGTTCTGCCATTTTGGGGCCCCCCCAGGTTCTGCCTCACTACACAGCAGTGGTGTCAGGGCAACCACACCTGACCATTGTCAAAAACCCTGAACGTAGGGGAAAGTGCATGAGTCCGAATGCAGGCAGGGCTCAACTAGAGGGGATCCGAGAGCTCCGGTAGTGGACCGAAGCTTCTCCAGGAAGCCCAGGTCTGCTGGGTGGTACAAGAGGCTCTAAGAAGGACGCGGCCTCAGCGACTCGGAGGGAGCGCTGTGCCTCCGTTATGTCTCAGTTAATCCTTATATTTCATGTGTCTGAGGTATCTTGTAGGAAGGGGTTGGGATTCACTCATAGAGGGACTTGGGGTAACTTTTAGTCGAGATTAGAACTGGGGAACTGTGGGTTCTAATCTACAAGTATTTATATATGGAGGAATGGGAAGGACTTTAGTCAAAGTCCAAGTGATAATGGAAAACACCGAAAGGTGCTGAATGATACCAAAAGGTACTGAAAGGTCCTGAACGATATCCTTAACGTCGAACCGAGGTGTCGGGTCGAGAAGGGCGGAGTAGAAGGCCAGAGGATGAATGGGAACGAGAAATGGGTAAGAGGAGGTTAGCCGACTGAATGGAAAGAAGACAACAGTCATACTATAAATGGAAGGTGACTAATTTGTGATGACGTGAGTGGGATCACCGGAGGATGTGGGTAGCTCCAAAGGCGGAGTTACGTATCCGAAGGATGTTGGGTGACTCCAATAAATGAAATGGGAGGGGGAATGGTTTAGAGGTAAGTCACGGGATGTCAGAGATCCATCAGGAGGTCGGAGCAAATCCAGAGTCTCCAAATGTTCCGACTTGGGACCGAGCTTCCGGGATGGGAGTGGCCAAGGTAAGGTGTGCTGCAACCAGGCCAGAGCTGAGACAGTTAGGAAGGAAGGTGACTTGGGGAGTGGGGAGTGATGGTGTAGGGGATGATGAAGTTGTTAGGAAGGTGTGATGTGGTGGGAGAGCGCGGGGTCGGGATTCCAGGATATGACAACCATACATCCCCAGAACCACCTTCCCTGACCTCCCCCCACTTCCCTGATCCTCCCATCTTTACATACATCTCACAACTACAGCCCACATGCAAACCTGTGGAAAAAATCATGTGGGTCAAGGCGAGCAACTCGCCTTAACCCATGTGACACCTTTTCTGCATCATGGGAACATGCTCGGCTTCTACCCATAGTCATGTTATGAACTGTACAGTGCATTTCCCTTTTATAGCATCCAAGCAGGGAATAGGGAAACTTACCCTTCTCCTCAACTCAATCCCCACTTAGGCAAGTTGTAGCTACCTTCCATAATACATGACAACTCAATCCCCGCTTAGTGAGTTTGAGGAGCTTGGGACAGGATCCAGCACCTGGCTGCCTGGGACACCGCAAGTGTCCAGCTCTGAGGTAGGGCCGCCCCCAGACAGAGGCCAGGCCCTGACAGGTGGATAATAATCCACTGTTGCCATATTCACAGATAATAGAGCCCACCCCACCCCATAACTCTGCTCCCCACAATGAGGGAATGTGTCATATCCATACAATCCCAACCTCCGCTATGGGCTCCCGGAACTCCAAAACTGACTTCCAGAGTCCTACTTCCCTTCTGCCACCTCCTCCTTGCCGACTCCCAAGAGGTTATCCCACCTCCGGCTCCAACACCACCTTCAGTCCAACTCTGGAACATTCCGGGTCCGACCTCAACCTCGACACCTTCCAGATGAGCATGCAACACCTATGCTCCTGACTCCGGACCTCTGCTCCGGAATCCCGTTCGCATCTCCATCTCCGGAACCTCCGGTCTTAGCTCCGACCTCGGACTTTGACCCCACCTCCACTTATACCCATTGTATTGGTTAACTCATTCCATTTAATTACGTTTGCCAATATCCCGGAGTTTAACTTCTGAGTTCGGACTTTGCGGACTTACGTCGGACCTTGCAACTATTGCATTGCTCCATTCAATTCCGCTATTCTCCCTCATTCCTATTTGGGCTGCTGCTTCCTTTCTATTCAGTCAGCTGGCCATTCCCCACTCCCATCCTCCTTCCTTCCTCCTTGGGCCTTGGCCCTTCACTCCTCCTTTGGGAAACACCATTGAGTCAAACACTTGACCCTCGGTGTTGTTCCTCCTTCCAGCTCCCTTTGTCTGCTTTCAGAGTACCCTTGCTCCTTTTGATTCCAGACCCCTCCTTATATACAATGTACATAGTAACTTGTAACCTCAGTCTGAAATCGACCTGAAATGCCCCCAAGAGACTTTCCCTCTGCTAGATCCGAAATTAGGGACCCCCAGGACAACCAGCAATGGCACAGCGCTCCGCCTGAGTCGCTGAGGCCAAGGTCCTTCCACGCTAAGTCTCCGATTCCACTCTGGAGTCGTCCGAATCTGCCTGTTCTAACAGAATGTTGGTGGATGACGGAGTTGTGGATGAGGCCCCAAGGCTGAGATGTTTCCCAGCAGCCCAACAGATGCAGGCCCCCTCTGCTGAGAATGCAGTGGCAGGTGTTATAGAGCACACAATTGTTTGGAAGTGGAGAAGGGACTCAGGAAGGAGGGACTTTGGCCTCAGCGACTCAAGTGGAGCACTGTGCTGTTGCTTTGTTGTCTAAGGTGGTCCTTAATTTCAGGTTAGCAGGGGGAGTCTCTTGGGGGGACAATCCAGTCGATTCTGGTTTTAGTTGTCGACTCTAGTTGTCAATTTCAGACTAGGGGTACAGAGACTACTGTACCTGCACGACCAATTACCGGCTGAGGTTCCGAGTGTGACACAAAATAGTCAACCGGCTTCTCCTTGTGACGTGTGACAAGCAACCGGAAGAGATGGCAAGGTTGGTGTGACACCAGCCACAGTGGCGCTGGAAATGTCCAACTGGCAAATTTTCGTGTTGATACATTTTACACCAAAAAACTACTTCCTTGCAGACGGCTTTTGTTTTCATTGAATTTAATCCGATTTCACACAGCCACTTAGGTGCCAAAAAAAATTGGTGTGACAAGGATCATTCAACTGGAATGTCAGTGTGATGCGTGACCGGTAATTGGTCGTGCAGGTACAGTAAGTACAGAGTGTATATATAATACAGGAGTGGAGTCAGAGAACCCAAAGGGAACAAAGGGAACTGGAAGGAGACAAAGGGGGACTGGATGAGGGAACAACCCCAAGGGTCAAGGGTTGGAACTCTATGGTGCTTCCCAAAAGGGCAAGGCCAAGAGGGGAAGGAGTGGAGTGGGTTGTGGGGAATGACAGCTGACTGATTGTCAGGGAGCAACCCAGGGTCGAGAGCACCTGGATGTGTCACCTGGCACTGAGGGCCCGATAGGGTGTAACACAGGCACGCATACTAGTAGGCCCAGCACAAAGGGCATCCCTGGCCACTTAGACTGAAGTGGGAGGTGTGAATTATTATTAACAGAGAAAGAGGTAAGCTACTTGCCTAAAGTGGGAAGTGTGAGAAGAAGGTTACTTCTCAGTTCCCACTTAGGCTGTGTTTATGTACATGCAGTTGAAGGTCACTGTCAGGGACACGTCTGGGGTAGAGGGGGTCCAGATGTAGCGCCCAGCAGAGGGGCCCTTGCAGGGTGTAGAGTGGGCATGCATACTGGTGGGCCCGGAGTGAAACAGCAGTCCCTGGCCACTCAGACTAAAGTGGAAAAGGTGAATTGTTATTAAAAGGGAAAACTACACTACTTACCTGAAGTGGAAAAGGTGAGAAGAAGGTTACTTCTTTGGTTCCCACTTCAGGTACATTTATGTACATGTGGCTTGAGTCACATGATGGGTGCCATGTCATCCTTGGAGACAGCTGTAGCCATCTGGGTGTCCCCATGGGGGATCCCAAGAGCGTCCGCTGCAGGTGCCCATGCTGGGCACAGTGGGGAGCCATCCAGTGTGTCTGGGCTGGATGGGTCAATAGTACATTGATACAAGGGAAAGTGGTCTGTGTAAATAGAAGGAACAAACAGGAAGAGAATGATGGGAAGAATGAAATAAAGAAAAGGGAAGAAAGAGAGAAAAGAAAGAAAGAAAGAAAGAAAGAAAGAAAGAAGGAAGAGGGAGGAAGGAGAGGGATGGGGAGTGGGGAGTGGGTGTGGTGTGGCCGGGTGGGCCTGGGTGGACCCAGGTCAGGCAGGTGTGCCCTGACAGTCATGTCATCTGTTAGAACTGGGCAAGGGCAGATGATTCTGGAGGGGAACCGGAGACTTAGCAAGGAGGGACCTTGGCCTCAGTGACTCATGCGGAGCGCTGTGCCATTGCTGTTTGTCCATTTGGTCCTTAATTTCAGAGGCAGTGAGCAGGAAGTCTCTAGGGGGCATTTCAGGTCAATTTTAGACTGAAGGTCCAAAACGAGTATGTACAAGTGCCTGTATATAATAGGGAGACAAAAGCACAAGGAAATCAAAGGGGGTCTGAAATAGAACAAAGGCATCTGAATGGGAACAAAGGGATGACAGAAGTGGAGCGGCACTGAAAGGTCATAGGTTAGAACCTGTGGTACATCCGGAAGGAGATAGGGAGGGCAAAGCCCAGAGGGGCAGGAAGATGAGGTGAAGTGGGGATGATGACTGACTGGCTAGAATGGAGAGAAGCAGCAGTCCAAATAAGGGTGAGGGGAAAGCGTGAA